ACCAATGCGCAAAGCCACCCAGTAAGATATTGAGGTTTCTTAACGTAGATGTTCACGTTACCAGGGCTGTACACTTCAACAATTATTTTTTGCCCTGTTAACTCATTGAGCTTCCTGTGAAAAAAACTCAACGGGTTCAGATACTTCACTGCATACAACACATGGAGACCTTGGTGCATCACAGGACCCGCTCTTTGCAAAGCCCAGTTTGTTAGTCTCTAAGGTGCCAGAAGTACTCCTTGTTGTTTTTCTGTAGATTTGTGTAACTGTGCCAGATTCTGGTGCAATTGTGTCCCAAGTGTTGTGTACATTCCCAACAAACACCCCATACCCATATATATCACCCCTAATAGCCCTCATTTGCAACAGGCCATTAATGCTGCCCCTCCGTGGTCATTGAGGAGGGACACAATCAAATATTTTCTCTGGACAAACAATTACTTAACTGAATTATTGTCCATTTTACACCATTCCATCCTCCCCATCTACTCCTAGTGGTTCCCAGTGAGCTACTCCCTGTCTCATTATTCCCATAGGGCTCATGGGGACCACCTTAGTAGCTGTTCCATTCCAGGGTACCACAGTAACTATTACACAGGTACTATTTGTTTATATTCATCCTTTGTAATTTGACCTAGTGTCCACTTTTTGTAGGACTCTTTTTGGATTTTTAGATCATTGAAGACTTTTTCCCTATGGGATCTTACCTACCAACTCCCAGAGTTTGCGAAAGTCTGCCTTCTTGACATTCATTGTCGTTATTATGCTGTTCTCCCGCCAACAATTCCTTAGAATCATGAATTCTATCATTTCATAATCACTTTCTCCCAAGCTGACTTCCACTTTCAAATTCCCAACCAATTCCTCACTATTTGTCAAAATCAATTCTAGAAAACAGAATCATAGAATATTAGGGTTGGAAGAGACCTCAAGAGGTCATCTAGACCAATCCCCAGCTGAAAGCAGGACCAACACCAACTAAATCATCCCAACCAGGGCTTTGTCAAGTCGGGCCTTAAAAACCTCTAAGGATGGAGATTCCACCACCTACCTAGGTAACCCATTCTAGTGCTTCACCACCCTCCTAGTGAAATAGTGTTTCCTAATATCCAACTTGAGACCACTGCTTTTTGTTCTGTCATCAGAACAGCCTCTCCCCTAGTAGCTTTCTCCACCTTGTGAAATAAAAAATTGTCTCCAATATACTCCAAGAACTGGTTGGATAATCTGTGTCCTGCTGTGATGTTTTCCCAACAGATATCTGAATAGTTGAAGTCCCCCATTACCACCAAGTCCTGTGCTTTGGATGATTGTTTTAGTTGTTTAAAAAAAGCCTCCTCCACCTCTTCTTCCTGGTTAGGTGGTCTGTAGTAGACCCCTACCATGATATCACCCTTATTTTTTGCCCCCATTATCCTTACTGATAGATCAAGAGACTTTCAACAAATCTGTCTCTTATTTTCATCTCAACCTCAGTCCAAGTGTATACCTTTTTAATACATAAAGCAACACCTCCTCCCTTTTTCCCTGCCTGTCCTTCCTGAGCAAGCTGTACCCTTCTATACCAATATTCCAGTCATGCATATTATCCCACCAAGTCTCTGTAATGCCAGCTATGTCGTATTAGTATACAGACATCTAAGGTACTGATTTTATCCCCCCACCCCAGTTCTGTCTTGTCTATCCCTTATCACTGTTATAACAGCCCATGCTCCCCTCAAATTCCAACCCTACTCCCAGGTCTCCATGTTTTTGACCTACCATGTATCATTGGTCTGCAGGGGAGGGATGGGAGCAGGCTCCAGTGCCCTCAGTTAGCATGGTGCTCCCTTTTGTGTGGAGCTAGGTGTGCACTCCCCTACCTGCCGGCAGTGCCAGGGGGAAGAGCAAGCCCTTTCCTG